TCATGGGGTCGCAAAGAGTCAGACATGACTGAGTGACTGAAGAACAACAAACAACAACAGCACAAACAAAGTAAGTGTTGCTAGAGATGCTGGAATGGGGTGGACCTTTCTTATGAACAGAAACAGAGTCCCTTTAGCCTTCATGTTTCACTGGAAAGGCCTGGAAAGGGCTGAGATTCCCATCTGTCTGGAATTGAAGTGAATGACTCACTATGGACCCCATTCCCAACGGAAGTGGCTTTGGCTTATATCATGTATTCACAGAAACTCAGCTTCACTGTTAGTTTGCAGGGATCCACCCAGAGATTCTCCACGTTAGGCCAACAGGCACGCATTTGGGCTGCATGGGATGACATTTCTAGATTAGATCCCTTTGTTTTGTTGTTTGTTTGTTGTTTCCAGAGCCCGCAAACCTGATGACAAGAGCTGAGGGCAGCTGTGCTTATGTCAGGCAAGGCGCTAAGGACATTGTCAGATATTTACACAGAGAAACAGTCCTTGGTGGGAACAACTTGAAAAAAAAAGTAAAATAACATTGCTTATTGTTTTCAAGATCATTCTACTTTAAAATTTTTTAAACATAAAAGGGGGGCTTCCTTGGTGACTCAGACAGTAAAGAATCTGCCTGCAATGGAGGAGATGCAGGCTTGATCCCTGGGTGGGGATCTGCTGGAGAAGGGAATGGCAACCCTCTCCACTATTCTTGCCTGGAGAATTCCACGGACAGAGGAGCCTGATGGGCTACACTCCATGGGGTCACAAAGAGTCGGTTACAACTGAAATGACTTAGCACGCACTCTCGCATGCACGAGCAACTAACACACATACACAAACATAAAGGATAAATGAACTTCAGGTGCTTTGAGAGCAATAGAGCCATTGGTGTGAAGGCAGCACACCCTAGAGGTGGATAAAGAATCTGGAAGGTACACAGAGACATGGTTGCTCGTCCTGGCTGCCAAGGATTTACTCATGCCCTTGGACAAATATCCACTTCACTGCTTGACTCGGGGTTCTTGTACCTGGGAGACCTGTGCACCAACTGAGGCTTTGCTAGTAACTGTCCGGTGTTAACATGAAGCTCCTCTGAGCCTCAGAGGAGTCTCTTGGTTTATGAAATGGGAATAAGAACTCTTTCCCTGCCTGACCGCCCCAGCTTTTGTGGCGGTCAAATGAACCTATGTGAAAATACCTTGTTAACCATCGAGTACTCTATGTTTTTTTCCCACGTAGGACATAATGTCTTCTGATGGAAGTGAAGGAGGAGTTTGGGATGACAGTGATGGAGAATGGTGAAAGGATTAGGGTTCCCCTAGGACACACAGGCAAACTCTGGGAGATAGCGAGGGAGAGGGAGGCCTGGCATGCTGCCTTCCATGGGGTCTCAAAGAGTTTGACAGGACTTGGCAACAAGACACACAGAGGGTATGGGGCATGGTTGCAGCTGGTACCAGAGATCATGGGTCTGTGGTGCTGACATCTGCCTCAGCCATTGATGCACAACTGGATGTTGGCTGGGGTGGTGAAAGGAATTGGGAGCATGGACAAGGGAATTTATATTATAGTTACAGTATCTAAGCTGAAAAGGGAGAGGATGGAAGAGAGGAACAAGCTGATAGATTTGGGGAGTTGGGGGTACTAGTGAGATTGTTAGTACCACGAGCACAGGCAAGTTAGGAGGTGAGGTAGGCAGTAGTGGGTGAGGCTGGAGTTCAAGGTTTGTGACCTGGAGAACATCCAGGTATCTGAACAAGGAGTCGCAAGGGAGAGTGTGCTGGCTGGGAGGACCACGTGGGGCCTGAAGGACCTTAGGCCAAAGGTCAGTTACAGGACTTGGGGTGGAGAGAGTGAGAGCCGAGTGCCACGATCCCGAGGAACATGAGTGGGCTGATAGATCTGGGGACAGCCATGGGGCAAACGGGACCTGTGGACAGTAAGGACATCAAAGGTTGGGGGCAGAGTGTCTGGAAGGCTGGAAGGAGAATGCTGCTGCAGCTGCTTCAGGGTTAGGGAGGCCCAGAAAATAGAAGGGCCCCAAGGCGTGCTCAGATTTAAAAGTCGATATGCAGTACACATGAATTGGTCACCTTATGTACAGATAATCAAAAGTTGTAGGGGCACCTTGGCCTCAACAGGTAAACCAATATGTGTGTGTGGTCAGTCATGTCAAACTCTTTGCAACCCTTTGGACTGAAGCCCTCCAGGCTCCTCTGCTCATGGAATTTTCCAGGCAAGAATACTGGAGTGGGTTGCCATGCCCTCCTCCAGGGATCAAACCTGCATTTCCTGTACTGGCAGGAAGACACTTCACCACTGTGCCACAAGAGAAGCCCGTGTAAACATATAGAACAAACTGTTTTGGACAACTCCTTTTAGCCATTGACATTTTAAGATATTGTAGGCTCAACAGCATGTGGGAGTTGGTTCGCACCAGTGGATGAAGGATGCACATCATCAAATTTTCTGGAATTTTGGCAAGCTGGGTGTTATGTTGGTAGCTTGAAGCAGACCTGGGAGGGAATAGTTATGCCAAGAAAATTTGCAAATACTTCACCACTAGGGCTTTTTCTCCCCTGGAAATCTGGTTGTTGAACATTTTCCAGTACACCACTGAATAGGCCTAATGAGAACCTCCAATCTGCCCAGCCTTACAGTCCTGTTGTGGGTTTAACTGTGTCACTAAAGGAGAAATGTCATAATGCCCAGCGTGTGTGGATGTGACCTTCTTGAAAGTAGGGTTCTGCCCATGTAATTAAGATGTCAGTTAAGATGAGGACATCCTGGAGTAATAGTTATTGGTTGTTTAGTCACTCCGTGGTATCTGACTCTTCTGTGACCCCATGGACCATAGCCGCCACCCGCCCCCCCACCCTCCTCTGTCCATGGATTTCCCAGGCACGGATACTGGAGTGGGCAGCGTGGGTCCTTAATCCCACATGACTATAGTCTGTAAGAGTAGCCGCAGAGACAGACACACAGAGAAAGGAGAACTGTATGAAGACAGAGCAGGGAGGACACTGTGGCGATGGAGGCAGAGACTGAGGCATGCCAAGGATGGTCCAGCGCCAGAAGCTAAGAGGATACCATGAGCTTTGTTCCCTCAGTCACCAGAAGAAACCGACCTGGCCCACAACACCTTGATTTCAGACTTCAGCCTCCCAGGGCTGTGAGATGATACACTTCCATTGTTCTAAGCCATACACTTTGTACTAGCTTGTTCAGCATGGCTAGAAACTGACACACCTGCCATGCCATCCAGTCTGGGCACCAGACCGGTGGAAGTTCCCCAGTGAGAACTATGGTGGGAAGATCCCTGTTCCTGTGCTCTGGCTCCCAGGGAACCCCCCGCCTCCCCCAGCCTGGCTGTCCTGCACTGTCATCTGCTCCTCCTTGTCAGCTGCCTCGGATTGTGTAGTGTGCTTTTTTAAAAAAAAAAAAAGTATTTATTTTATTGGAGGATAATTACTTTACAATATTGTGATAGTTTTTGCCATACATCAGTATGAATTTGCCATAAGTACACATGTGTCCCCCTCATCCTGAACCCCCCTCCCACCTTCCTCCCTATCCTATCCCTTCAAGTTGTCACAGAGCACCAGCTTTGGGTGCCCTGCTTTATACATCAAACCCTGCTTTATACAAGCTATGGTAATGTATATGTCTCAATGCTATTTTTGCAAATCATCTCACCTTCTCCTCCTTCCATTGAATCCAAAAGTCTATTTTTTATGTCTGTGGCTTCTTTGCTGCCATGTATGTGGGATTGTCATATCATTTTTCCAGATTCCATATATATGTGTTAATATATGGCATCTGTCTTTCTCTTTCTGGCTTACTTCTGTATACTTACTTACTGTATAATAGACTCTAGGTTCACCCACCTCATTAGAACTGACTCAAATGCATTCCTTTTTATGGCTGAGTAATATTCCATTGTGTATATGTACCACAACTTCCTTATCCATTCATCTGCCGATGAACATCTAGGTTGCTTCCATGTCCTAGCTATTATTGTAAATAGTGCTGCAGTGAACACTGGGGTACAGGTATCTTTTTCAAGCAAGGTGAAAAGACAGCCCTCAGAATGGGAGAAAATAATAGCAAACAAAACAACTGACAAAGAATTAATCTCCAAAATGTATAAGCAGCTTATGCAGCTCAATACCAGAAAAATGAACAACCCAATCAAAAAGTGGGCAGAAGAGCTAAACAGACATTTCTCCAAAGAAAACATACAGGTGCATAATAAACACATGGAAAGACGCTCAACATCGCTCATTATTAGAGAAATGCAAATCAAAACCACAATGCGGTATCACCTCACACTAGTCAGAATGCCTACCATCAAAAACTCTATAGACAACAAATGCTGGAGAGGGTGTGCAGAAAAGGGAAACTTCTTACACTGTTGGTGGGAATGCAAATGGATAGAACCACTATGGAGAACAGTATGGAGAATCCTTAAAAAACTAGGAATAAAACTAGCATATGACCCAAGAATCCCATTATTGGGCATATACCCTGGAGTGTGCTTTTAAGTGTAGATGAGTTGTCTCCTCTTCTAACTGGTAACCAGAAGCTGTAAATTCAAGGTAGCTGGGGGTGAGGCCAGTGCAGCCATTTCAGACTGCAGTGTGCTCCTGCCTTTAAAACACTTACCCCACCTTGCTGGTTGAGGAACACCTGACTGAGATCTGGTGTTTCGGGACCTCTGTGATGTGCGAGAGAGAGAGAGAGAGAGAGAGAGAAAGGTTCTTGGCCTCAGCCTCCCGCAGCAGCAACCAGCAGGCACTGATGTGCTGGTTGTGGATTCGCTGCCTGGAGCTCTTGGGTCTTCTGCTCTGGCCCAGTCAATGGGTGTGAGACCTCTGAATTGCAGTAACTGCCCCTAAGTTTCCCCCTTCAGACAAACTTCAGAACAGATTTTTATAAGGTCATGTTTTAAACCCCCCCAACTGCCTAGCTACTCGACACTATTGCAAAACTTCAGCTTCAGAAGAATGCAGCAAAAGGGCGGTGTCCCCTCTAGCCATGGCTTGCCCCACCCTGATATTTCCATGAGTGTTTTTCTTGGTGATTCTCAGAATCTCAGGTAGCTGAGGGAGCCGCGATGAGTATCTGTCTGTGCGTGTGTTCAGTCATGTCCAACTCTTTGTGACCCCATGGACTGTAGCACTCCAGGCTCCTCTGTCCATGCAATTTTCCAGGCAAGAATACTGGAGTGAACTGTCATTCCCATCTCCAGGGATCTTGCCCATCCAAGGACTGAACCCGGATCTCCTGCGTCTCCTGCATTGGCAAGCAGATTCTTTACCATTGTGCTAGATGAGAAGTCCAGGGATGTTAAACAGAACGGGTGATTTGGGGTGAAGACTGTTCAGAAGCTGAAATTCCTGTTTACGGTTCATTACATCTTGAACACCAGAGGGCGATACAGTCACAGGGAATAGCTGCTCGGCTTCATTTTCCTAATGTGAGATCAAATGTTGAAAATTGTTCTTTTGACTGTTTTGCTCTGTCCCTGAGAAAGATCCAGCAAAGGCTTTTGAGACCACTTTCTGGAGGTCCAAGTCCTGACGCCGGGTCCTGGGCCACCCACCAGAGGGTGCTGGGCAGGGTTGCACTTCCTCTGTGGGGAAGCCCTCCTCACTGACCCTCCCAGCCCATGCTGAGACTGTCGGGCCTGCTCTGCTTCTTGGGAGGGTGTGGACTGTGTCCCAGGGGAAAGCTAATTCGTGTGGGGACCCGGCTTGGTACTTCCAGGGCCAGCCATTTAACTGGTTTCCTGAGTCCTACACTTAGTATCTGGCCCTGAAAGAATGGAGAAGCCCGACAGAGGAGACCCCGCAAGAAGGGCTGACGGACTGCAGGGGTCCTGGGGCTGCCCTGGAGGCTCAGACAGTGAAGAATCTGCCTGCAGTGTGGGGGACCCAGGTTCGATCCTTGGGTCGGGAAGATCTCCTGGAGAAAGGGAATGGCTACCCACTCCAGTATTCTTGCCTGGGAAATCCCATGGACAGAGCAGCCTGGCGGGCTACCCAGTCCATAGGGTCACACAGAGTTGGACACGACTGAGTGACTAATGCTCTCACTACTTTTACTTTATCAGTTGTTGCCCTGACAGTTGGTGGGACTTTGGTGGTGGCCAGCTGGAGATCCAGCTGGTGGCCCAGGGTCTGTGGCCCTGGGTCAGCTCTCACCAATGGTCTCTGGCTGCGAGGATGCTCTGGCAGAATGTTCATGGTTCTGGAGCACTCTGGACAGCGGTGCAGGACTCACGGAAGAATCTGGGAGAAGCAGGTGTAGAGCAGTTGGGAATGGCCCAGGGGAGGTTTGACAGGGGTGGTGAGGTCCCTGGAAGGGGTGACAGGGCTCAGCTCTGGGCCTCCGAGGCCTGTGAGGAGAGCCCGAGCCGCACAAGTGCCCACCGAGGTGGACAGGAGGGAGCCAGCATCAGAGCCTATCTCATCCTGCAGGCTTAGAAGCCATGGATGTGTGTGTGTGTGCCCCTGACTACATATCATTCAGAAAAGAGACTGTCTACTGGAGGTCCAGTGGCTAAGACTCTGAGCTTGCAATGTAGGGTGTCGGGGTTTGATCCCTGGTCAGAGAACTAGATCCCACATGCCTCAGCTACGAGTTCATGTGCCGCAACTAAGACCCAGCGAAGCCAAATACATATAAAAAGAAAGGGGCCTGTCTACTTTCACCCACTGGGAGAGGCATCTCAGCTCTAGCTATTCAGTCTGTGCACCTTCCAAAGGCATTCAGCAGACAGCGAGACTGTGCTTAGCGATGACATGTTGTCAACTGTGAAGCACTGCTTACTCCACAAAACAGAAGAAGGTCATGCAGACCAAAAAGCTGTGCTAATGAGTTGACTACAAGTTAGTGGGTCCCAGCTGTTCATCAGAAAGACAAACCTTTAGCAAACCGAGGGGGAAATGTGTATTTACAATGCTGTTGCTGCTGCAAAGTCGCTTCAGTCATGTCCGACTCTGTGTGACCCCATGGACCATGGCCTGCCAGGCTCCTCTGTCCATGGGATTCTCCGGGCAAGAACACTGGAGTGGGTTGCCATGCCCTCCTCCAGGGGATCTTCCAGGGACTGAACCTGTGTCTCTTGTGTCTCCTGCACTGGCAGGCAGGTTCTTTACCATTGGCGCCACCTGGGGAGCCCGGTACCTACAAGAGAGGGCACAAAGCCATTGCCATTACCCCAGGGAGAAAGTTGAAACGTTCCTCTGGAAACCCACTGTGGACGCGAGAAACGGGTGCAAGTGCAGAGGACTGCCCTGCTCCCAGGCCTATGGTTGCTGCAGGAGCTGCTTGACCACGTGCACGAATTAGAGAGGATTCTCGGCTGTTTATGATTCTGCTTCTCAATTGAGCCTTTTAAATTAACAAGGATACAAAAGGACAGATCTGGAAGTAGAGTACTTAGGTGGGGCCCTAGTTCCAGCTTCCTGCCCCTCAGGATTGATGTTCATGCTTGGGGAAAGTGACATGACCACAAGTAGTCAGTTAGCTCTTCCTTAAAACAGACACTGAGTGTCAGATAATGTATCTGACATGTGCAAAACCTTAGGAAATTACCAAGTATGACATAAGGGCAGTTATTAATCTCTAGAAGGAATCCTTAAGTATTTCTTTCTCTTTCAAATACATGTCTGTTACCTGCGCTGGGTGAGGCTTCATTTGAAAGTGGGCCTTATGGTGCTAGTGGTAAGGAATCCACCTGCCAATGCAGGAGATGCAAGAGACGGGGATTGGATCCCTGAGATGGAATGATCCCCTAGAGGAGGAAATGGCAATTCACTCCAATATTCTTGCCTGAAGAAGCCCATGGACAGAGAAGCCTGGTGGGCTACAGTCCATGGGGCTGCAAAGAGTTGGACATGACTGAGCAATTAGTGGGTTTATTAGCGTTAAAGATATATCTATAGGCCAGTGCTATTGAACTACTACTTAAGTGCAAAAAAAAAAAGGGAATGACTACTATTCTGATAGTTGTGTACTCCAGTGGCTTTGTAGTCTGTTTGGCCACATTTATATGACAATGTGCAGAATAATCACTATACTGGAAACCATACTGAAGGGAAATTTTGCCTTGAGTAAAGGTTTTTATTTTTGTTTTTGTCCTCTATCTCTTTTAGCTAATTAACAAAAGAGACATCTTGAGCTAATGTGAATGGGGAACAACTACAGGCAACATCAAGGATCAACGTTCTGCTTAGAGACATTCTGTCAAATAAACACTTCTGTTGGACTTGACGTCTCCTTGGTTTATCACAGCAAGTGCTTACTGTAAGTAAGCGACAAGGTGTTTAAATTTCACATCTGTGAAGTCCATGTTATGTTTCCTAGCAGGGGACAAGACACAATCAATACTTTTTCAGTGATACAGGTCTCAGATTCAGAGTTTTATTTAACCAAACAGATACTGTCCTTGACACTGAACTACATACTGAACCTCACTAAGGAACAGGCTTATTGATACTTCCTAGTTTAAAGCCATTACTCCAATTTTTTTTTTTTTCATGAACTTTAAAACATACACCATCTGGCTCATTCACAGATTGATAAGCAAGGGAATATATTAATAGACTGTGAACTCCTGAAGCAAAGCTCTCTTGTGAGTTAAGAGCCTGGGATGTGACATCAAAGCCCAGGTCCACGGCTTAATAGCTGGTGAATTTGGGCAGTTCATCAGCCTCTCTAATCTTATATTCCTCCTCTGTAAAATAAGGATAGGAGTATACCCTCCTCATACTTTTGTAGGTTTCCAACAAATAAATCTAATTAACATGTAAGTTACCAGCATCACCAGCACCATTATTACCACTTCTAAAAGCGTCACAACCCCCAGTTCAATGTCTTGCACTATATGCATAGCATAGCTCATTCTGCTTACTGATAAATCAAAGATTTGGGGTGAAATCTACCAGGATTACACATTCAAATTATTAAAGCACTTTCAGCATACTCTGTTTCAATTTTAGGGGGCAGAGAGAGAGCCAACGATTGTCTTAACAACTGCTCAAACCCCAACCCTAGAAAATAATCATTAGATTTGTGTTTATGAAAGTTCCTAGTGTCATTCTTGGCACATCTATACTAGACATTTGAAAAAAGTTCCAAGAGATAAAAAGGGTTCATATTTTATGACTGTTTGTAGAGAAGAAAAGCGGATTAAAGTGACTTGCCCAGAGTCTACAGGAATGTTGTTTTTGGATAATTTTTCTTGATTTAAACTATGAGAAGCCAAATTTTATTTTCTGTTGAATCACACAGATGCCATTATTTTATCTAAGTGTTTTCTTAGGAAACCCGGGCAAAGGAAAATTCCTCCAGACAGCTGCTTGGTCAACAAGTGCTTCTCATGTTACTTAACTAAAGTTGTCAGGTCCAGTGAATCTGGGAACCAGTCAGCACTGGCTCTTAATGCAGGCAACTCTACAGAACCACCTGGAGCCCTAAAAGTGCCTGAGCTGGGTCCACTGTGCAAGTTTTTGTGTTGGGTTAAAACTAAGAGGTTTTTGCTTTGGGACACCATGGGTGGCACCTAGACATCAGAATTCTTCAATTTCCCACTGAAAGAGTTCCTCTCTAGTTTTTCCCTCTTTAGGTCTTCTATGGTTCTTTTTAAAACTGAAGTACAGTTGATTTACAATGTTATATTAATTTAGATGTATAGCACAGTGATTAAGTATTTTTATAGACTATATTCCATTTCAAAGTTATTAAAAATAACAGATATATATTTCCCTGTGCTGTACAATATATCCTTATTGCTTATTTATTTTATACATAGTAGTATGCATCTCTTAATCCCATACCCCTATCTTGTCCCTCCTCTTCTCCCTCCCTACTGATAGCCACTAGTTTGTTCTCTATATCTGTGAGTCTATTCCTATGTTGTTATATTCCTTTGTTTGGTTCATTTTTTAGATTCCACATACAAATGATCACACAGAGTAATTGTCTTTATCTGGCTTATTTCACTAAGCGTGACATTCTAGGTCCATCCACGTTGTTGCAAATGGCAGAATCTTATTCTTTT